TTGATTTGAAATGAAAATTATATTGTATTAAACCAGCTTTTGCACACAACTTCGCTCGCCTGAAATTAACGTAACAGATCATTATGATTATTAAAGTTTCAAAATTATTTACGTAGTTTTAAATAAATTAAGTCTACTAATCACAAAACAACACACATTTTTAACCTATTCCATTCACAAAGTATTTTGTTTGTCTAACTAAATAAAAAAGTACAATCACAAAACTAGATAGAAATTGTAAGTAGGCAGATGTAATTAAACTGGGTACTGTAGGTGGGCAGCCCTATCGCATGTTGTCATACTGTGACGTACCGCGCGACTGTTGACATTTATTTCAAAAATATGGCCGAGTTGGAATACTGTATAGATAGCATTACCGTGCCTTGATTAAGACAGGTTTTGTTGCATGATGCAAACAACAAAAATTTATATGCAAAAAAACATTCACGGTTTTAAAACACAAATATTTAAGCACTAATTTGTTATCATTTATGCACTTAAAAGGGGCAAGAGGTTTGGAACTTTCTCGTTTCATATGAAACTCTTTTCCGACTGTTTTGAGTTCGAGTTCGAGCACGGGAACCAGCACTCGAAAAAGTTTGGCACATCATGACTTCAATGACTTTGTCCGGCTTTAACTTCAAAAAAAATAACTCAGTCTGCGTTAAACGAGAACTGCGCGTGGGATTTATAATTCATTTTGATACTAAAATGTCCTGACTTTTTAAAAACTGTCCGTCAGTAGGTACTTCCAAAGAAGAACGGTCATCTGTGACCCAGACCCGACAGAAACGAGACATACCTCAGTTTTTTTGTCATGTCTTAATTAGTTAAATTATATATTTTTTATATTCGAAATCTATGTATAACACCAAATTATTACCATTTGTTTTTGTTCAGGCGTCATACAAAAACTAATACAAAATGCCTATTTATCACCAAAATTGGTAAATGTATGTACCTAAATGTCTATTACAGCTGCTATGGAATGTATCTAGGTGACTTGGAGATACAGCCGGATTATACAGGGTGGAAACGTGAAGTTACAAAATCCAAAAATTCAATGTTACCAGCTTCCATAATCTGTAACCTATTATTAGTGCCGTTTGAAAGAGCTCATGAAGCACTTTCAGAATCAGTAACTAGTTTTTCGATATCTTGTATAGTTTAGAAATAATCGAGTGAGATCACTTATCGTTCCATATGTATAACCACCCTGTATGAGCCGGCTGTATCTCCAGGTCACCTAGATACATTCCATAGCAGCTGTAATAGACATTTAGGTACATACATTTACCAATTTTGGTGATAAATAGGCATTTTGTATTAGTTTTTGTATAACGCCTGAACAAAAACAAAGGGTAATATTTTGGTGTTATACCAGGCCTGTTCATCTCCGCGAGTTTACATCGAAAACAAAACACGCACGATGGCCCACCTACAGGATACTATTCGACAAGGCCTCACATACGAGCGAACATTGACTCACGCACGCGTACGAGGGCTGCACTAAAAGTATCGGGAATGTAATATTTCCACTGTTCCAGTCATATTAAAATCTATTTAATTGCAAACTCCAGGGTTTTAAAAATCGTATACCATTTATTTATTTAAAAAAAGATTCTCGGTCGTATCACAAGGTCTTGTCAAACTTGTTTAGTCGTTGAGAAAATGGAATTGACTCGAGAAAATTCAAGAGCGATGATTTATTATGACTTTTGAAGTGGTTTAACACAAAAACAGTGTGTTGACCGGATGATTTCTGCATTTGGTAATGAAGCCCCATCCAAAACCACAATTTATCGCTGGTTTCCTGAATTTCAACGTGGACGTGTCAAGCTCAGTGATGATCCCCGTCAAGGTCGTCCAAAAACTGCAGTCACCTAAGAAAACGTTGATGCTGTGCGTAAGCTTCCGCAGACCAACCCCCCCCCCCCTAATTTAGAATGACGTAATATATGGACGGCCCCACATCATTTTACCGAAGTCAGCCCTATAGCTTCGGCGCAGTGCCGATCACTGACGTTTGTCAACAAAATGGTGCTTGACTCTTGAGACAGGCTAAATTACACCATATTGTTAATGACATTGAGCATACATTTTTTTAAATACCTTCGCGAAGCAAAACTTCTGTACGTAGTACTTATTGTTATTCTGTGGTTATACATAGATTTAGAATATAAAAAATATATAATTTAACTAATTAAGACATGACAAAAAAACTGAGGTATGTCTCGTTTCTGTCGGGTTTGGTTTTTTTTTGTATGGGGCGTGACCGTTCTTCTTTCTGACGGTTAGTCTGTAGTAGTTATCGATCAAATTGTTTTTTTTATTTTGTGCACCACGGACTGATGACACGGTGTCCGGTGGCGGTGAGTGTAGAGTGATTATTTTGTGCTACCTTTTGAGCGTCACATGTCACTTCTGTGGACCAATTTTCAAGCCTTGGTTACTTTGTTTTTGCACGTCAGTAAACATGGTTCTGTATAAAAGTAAAATTATGTAAAAACGAGAAGGAAAAGCATCAATAATTGTAATACATTGTGTGACACGGATTAAGAGTATGTCAAGAATTACGAATTACGTGCTTCATTATGTTTCTACATTTAGTAAATTATAACACATCTCACTGGTTGTCATTATGGCCGTGAACGTGCGGTAGATTCATTATGTGTATCTCGCTTTTGCGTAACAAAAATGCAACAAGACATACAGCAATATTTCAAAAAGTGATATAGTTTCCGCCTCTGTGGTCAGTAGGGTTTGTCTATGACCCAGAGGTTTTCGATGTCTCAAAAATCAACAAAAAATATCAAAATTGGTTCAACAGTTTAAGCATGAAACCCTAATGGCAACTTACCCATTTATAGACTTTTGGTACCATAGCCAGCCAAAACTAGGAAAAGTTCGTTTACCAGACTCAAATGCGTATCAGACTGCTACAAACCACAGCCCAGTTTTATTGCAAAATATTCTTTATTACAGCGACATAAGATGCCACGGTGACGAGCTTGATATGCCGCCTGTACATTATGTCATAGATTTCGGTGAGCGTGAGCAGCACGCGCCCTGACACTGCAACTGTTTGCACTATGATTAGCTGTTGTTTGACACCCGGAACCATGATGTAGTTCAGGACTGTTACAAAATCTGGCAAACAAGAGTTAAGACATGGAGCTAGTTTAACAAACATGTCGTAACAGCCACTAAATTATTTTTTTTAATATATAATTTATTTAATCAAAGAAATACATAATTATTATTGATTGGAAACCTATTTCAAGTTTATTACGAAAAAAACACGACGATTTTTCGGACATTCCAACAAATAAGTTTTTTATTATTTAATCAAATAAGTAAGTTAATTATATCAGAATTAATCATGATTATGTACGCCTAATTATTATTATTATTTTCAAAGTTTTTAGGTTCGTTTCGTAAACTGAACAATCAACGGCAATTTGTATTTAGCCGCTTCAGTGCTTCTAACGGTTAATTATTAAACGCTAATAACAAAACAGTGTCGAATCATCAAACCAAAAATAGTATTTCATTTATAACAATAAAGGAATCTTACTTCGTAGAGAAAATCCTTACTAATATTATAAATATGAAAGTAACTCTGTCTTTTCTGTCCATCTTTCACGCTTTTGGCTTTCACGCCTAAACAACTGAACCAATTTTGATTAAATCTGGCATAAATATACTCTGAGTGCCGGGAAAGGACATAGGATAGTATCGCGCGCGATAAAGTTTTTCCGTGACAGACAAAATTCCACTCGGGCGAAGCCGCAGGCAAAAGTAAATTTTCTTATAAAAATCTTAATAATAAATGTTAAAGAAATTGACGGGGTTTTATAGTAGAATTCCCGTATTCGTAGCATAATGTGTTTTTTAAATGAACACGTCCATAATATTGTTTACTTATGACGTCATAATTTTTGGTCATGCATGTAGTAAACCTTTTTTAACTGATGATGAACAAACTAACGAACGAAATGACGTCATCACATTTGCTTGAGTAAAATTGGGGAGCCAAGACAAGTGGAACTTTTCGATCGGACCAAAAATCTAATCTCTTCACGGAGCGATGAAACTCCATTACTAAAAATCGCCAGAGCGAAGGCCTTTCAAATTTACAAATGTCACGCTTTGCCCCTTGTCTAGGGAGGAAGTATTGTCTGATGATAAACGAATGAATGAATGAATGAATGATGTTGTTGTGGACGGATGACCTCATAAAAGAAACAGGAAGGCGCTGGATGCAGGCCGCTGTCAACCGGCCCATCTGGAAATCACTGGGGGACCTATGTTCAGCACGGGACTATTCTCGCCTCTAGTTCCCACCGCTGCAACTCCTGTGTGGCCAGGACCTACAGCTTGACCGCCAATAACCCAACCAGTGAAGGTCAAGTTTGTCCCGGGGCAGGGCCGTCCTTAACCTACTAGGGGCCCTGGGCATTTAAAGATTTTAAGGATTAAGGGGGGCCCTTATCATCTGGAAAAAGGTCTTATTAGCAGATGGGGGCCCCCTCAGTCGCGGGGCCCTGGGCACGTGCCCAAAGTGCCCAGTGGGAAAGAGGGGCCTGTCCCGGGGGAAAGTTCAACAGCGTCCTGTGTATGCCGCGTATATGTATAGCGGGGGAGGCGGGGTGACACAGCACAGGATGGTATAGTGCGAGGATTTTGGGCTACGGATTCGAAGATGATAATTGATAGTATGGAGTACGTTACTAGCAGAATGTTTGGGTTACTGTGAAAATAATAGCATCTGATTTATGTACTTTTCCTAAATTAAGTTCAATTGTTTATAAGTACTTAAATGTTATTCTGAACTTTGTTACGTCTTGTTTGAATAGTGTAATTGGCACTACCGTTCTATTCATGAAATAAAATAAAATAGTAAAAACTTCTGAGCTGATGCTAATCGCCGGGCCCCCTGAAAAATAACCCTAGATACGCCAATGGTCATGTGGCTGCTGATGATGATGATTACTTACCCGGAGGCTGGGGCGCTGGCGCCGGTGTGTCTGGGGCCACCGTAGTGCCCGGGGTGCTTTTCCCCCAAGACACGGCGCACTCTGGTGACAAGAGAAACAGAACATTAAAATCATGATCGTTTGTTCGTCCGTTCGTTTCAGCCAAATGGCGTCCACTGCTGTACAAAGGCCACCCCCAAGAATTTCCACAAAGACCGGTCCTGCGCCGCCCGCATCCAGGCACCTCCCGCAACCTTCACATGATCATCTCAAACATTTGAAAATTATAATATAGGTGTTACAGTCAAAACTCATAGTCGGTCAAAATCACTTTTGACTGCAAAAATCAGTCAATAGTGGTTTTGCTCGATGCCTTTGGTCAATATCACTTTTGACTCAATTTTCCAGTCAAGTGGTTTTAACTAAGTTTAGTCAAAAACACTTTTAAAATGCAAACAGTCAGTCAAAAGTGGTTTCGCCTGATTTAAAATTTTACCAATCAGCCAAAGTTCATACAAATTATTATGATTAGTGAAAATTAATCTGAAATCATCAAAAATGTATTAAAAAACCATTATAGTGTAACTTTCATGTGATTTGTGTACACAAATTGATCACACCTACTTCAGGTATTACTGTAATGTTGTTTTACTTTTTCTCATTATTTTTCAGAAATAGGCATTTGTCAGATAAAAGATAGGCAAATTATAAGTTTTGATCGTTTTTTGCAGTCAAAAGTGGTTTTGACTAACGCCCTTGCCTTGGTCAAAACCATTTTTGACGGTAAAAATCAGTAAAAAGTGGTTCTGACCGATTATGAGTTTTGACTGCAACATAGGTAGGCACTTCTATGTATTTGGACGATTTGGTGAAAGTTATTGGAAGCATTTGGATTCGGGCAGCGTAGAAACAGTCGTTGAGGAAATCTTTGGAGGAGACCTATGTCCATTTGGCTGAAACAAACGAACGAACTTCTATTTCGCATAATAATCCAATCGACGGGAATCGAAGTAGCAATCCTTCGAATCCGATGTATGACATGTTTAGACCCTGAGTTAGGTTTGTGAATGAGGTATGTTTAAAAATCAAGGTGCCTTTAGCCTAAAAATATCATAGTCAAAAACAACAAAATATGATCAGAATAGAATAGTCACCCATTGCATTACTTATCATTATTTTTGTTCATAGCTAAGATTACTATTTTTTGTATGACACCATTCATACTCACTGATTAGATTTGTTTTAGGAAATTCACAATTTTTATCCCAGTAAGTATATCATGATTACCTTTACTGATTAAAATAGTTTTCAGTTTATTTAAATATTAACCTATATTATTTCAAATAAGGTCCATAATTGTCTGAACTAGTATCCTGACTCTCCCATTAGCCGACCACAACAATCCCTTAGCAACCAGCATCACAACCGATTAATTACAATGTCATACTAATGTACAAATTTTTATTCATATTAATTTACTCCTGCATCAATAAGCAATTAGATGCCAAATTAATTTGCAATATTAGTAATTTATTACAACATTTGAATAATCATTTAGTTCACCGAAGCAATTAACTATTTCCAAGAATCTCATACCATTATTGTTATTTCTCTAATTTCTCTACTATCATCACAATTTAATATTGTTATGAATAACACAGCTGCAATATTACCAGCACTATTTGATGCTGATTTACTTTATATTAGATCTGACTGATGTTTAAAAATATCTTTTTTTACCATCAGCTACTTTGATCTCATGTTTATTTATACAAAACACTTGTAAGGTACAAAGAGCAAGCTAAAAATAGTAAAATGTCAATATTAAGTTACACAATTAAAATACAAGGAGATTATTAATTAAAAACAAAAATAACTGAACAATAAAATAATAAATGTCAATAGTCAAATATGTACATTAGGTTTTCATCAAAGATCTTTAGCATACAGTACCATTTGGGAAATTTCAAGGTTGATCGTTGTTAAAAATATGGACATTATTTGCAACACATTTAAACTATTACCATACAATATGATAACAAAGTAGTAATGCTTAATATTCCATTTTCCTCATCCTAACTGAAGTTATTGGGTTGGTTTTATAATTATACATATTTTAACTTGTTTGGGATGGAGAAACCTATTTTTCTATTTTAGCAGAAACAAATACTTACTCTTAAATATTTTGGAAGATATTATTATTATTTCACATTATCACTCAATCTGGAGTTATTATTTACTACTAAAGATGCATAAGTTGACCACCAAACAGGCACTTTAGTATCAAAATTAGAATAAACAAGTGAAAAAAATTGTCTAATGTAATGCAATCCAAATGTGCATTACATAATTGGAGTGTTTAACAACATTACATTATTAAAACAATCATTGTGATGCAATATCATTTCACAATGTTATCAAGAAACATATGGTAATTAGAATAATTAGATTTGCACACTCATATTCCAGTGAAATGTTGAAACATTTAAGTTTTGAGTAACTCTAAGGTGATTCATCGACTGACAAAGACCATAGGTATATGGTCAAAAGTTCATAACATTAAATCATTATTTTATTTTTGGTACATAAATAAATATTATACTGGCAACTCAGGTTTGGTCTGCCTTAAACTTTGCATGCTTTACTGTAACAAGTACCTGTTGGTGATGCTAAATTCTCTTTCAATATGCACAGTTTGTAACTTTTTCCAATGTTTACCTTGATTATTTTCTTGGATTCTCCAAATTGACTGATCTTATTTCCATGATACTACAATGCTAGAAATGTGTTGAAAAATATTGATGTATCAAGGCAATAAATATCTTGTTGCTAGAGCAATTGGTTTCTCCATAACTGTAAAAATCAATTGGTTGTAGATTAATTGAAGTTATACATATAAAGTAAATCTATTGGGCATTGCAATATGGTTGTTATTACAAATTAATCAGTTGGTTGCTGGTGAGCTATTTACTGTTCTGGATGATGATGGAGATGGCTTTCAGATGTTTGTAACGGGATCCTTGTGGTTCTATTAAATTGATTGAATGATAACAATTTTATTCAAGACTTTTGATTACTTAAATGCTATCAGTCCTTATCATAAATGGCTATTTACCTAAAAGACAATCAATCCTGGCTCTTCATTCAACTGCAACAATCCAAGCTTGTGTTACACAATTTGAAAGTTTTTTATGCAATTCACAAACACTTCCATCCAGTTTAGGTTAGATTTTTGATTTTCTAACTGTGAACCACTGGCAATAGCATTTCACACTGCACACTGTATCCTATTACTATTGTTGATTACTACAGCACAAAGTGTTTGCTCACTTAACTAGAAAACAAAAGTGCATTGTATTCACAAGTACAGTTATAACTGGCGCCTTGCTCCACCTATCGGACGCAGTCCTGCTCTTCAAGCTTTTAGAGATAAATGAAACGATCACCTTGCTACCAAGACATAATAAAACTAGCTACGTTTCCCTATCACCATTCAGCAATTGCTGCAAATGTTGGATGGAATACAACGATCGGCAGCACCACAAATCAGCGCGAAACATCGTCGAGTCATAATCGCTGGCTGATATGTGACACATATTATCAAATTTATAGAGAAACATCCATCATTTCTGTCACAAAAATAATTAAACGTGTTATAAATAGCTACAGTGAAGTCAGCTTCTGATAGATATCGTCCGAGAGCGAGCATCGAGCAGCAAGATGCAGAAATATCGGAGTATTTACGTCACAAAGAAGCGACTTCTGGCCCCGAATACTCTCTCTAGCACAACGACAAATCGAGAATACATACCTTGGGTTGGACCGTGACACAAAAATCTTGTTGCTTGTTCGCCAAACACTCGTTCACACTAATAAATAAACTTCATATAAACATGTATCTTGCACACGGTGTCTAAAATCGATATTCTAAAAACGATCAAAATAAAATATTTCGTGGCACGGTGTCACTGAACCCAGCGCTTGCGGATTTTTAGCTCTTGCTCCACTAACCACGGCCGATCGTCACAAATAGATAATGCCTTTGTTAGATGAATTACGAAAGGGAAATAACGGGATATTTCATGAGCGACCCGACATAAATTGCACAAAGAAAGATGTCAGACACAGCCACAGATACTAAACTCAGCTGCGCTCAGTGTTGCCAGTTACCAGGTTGAATGGTAACATGAAAAAAAAATCTTTTTTTTTTTAATTAAAACTTTCAACTTGCTTTTTTACCCGACTGCGCCAGAAGGAGGGTTATGTTTTTTATACCAAACTTTTATTAGGTACGTACTATTTAAATATTTATTTTTGTTTTAATATGATCAAGATTGATCCTGCTGATGATGATGAATTTTTTTTTCATAGTAGATCGCCAATCGCCATATCGCACATCCTAAAACCCTCTTCAGTCAATATCATGATATTGATAATAAAAATCGTACACTTAATTTTTAAAATAAACCATGAACTGTTTTTTGTAGTAATATCTTTATTTAATCAAAAATTCAAAATACAGGCTTTGGTAGTAGTGCAGGCGAGGTCTTTTAATTTTTTTAAGTAGGTACTTACTTATACAGGGTGTTAGATAAATGGGTTTAAGAGCCGACACTAAAATAGTCCATGTTAACATAGGCATATAAATGGTGTCAGAAATTGGATATCATGATTTTAATTTTTTTAATTTTCATACAAAATAAATTTTATAAAATCCGATTTGTATAAAAATTAAAATAATTAAAATGAAGATATTAATTTTCTGACTTCACCATACCATTTATATGACCATGTTACCATGGGCTAGTGTCGGCTCATATACCCATTTACCAAACACCCTGTATACTTACAAAGTTACCTACGGCACAGAATAAGTAATAGTCCTACGGTCAATGTACCTACTCAAATTCTCAATCATAACAGATGGAATCATTTGAACACTTTTATATTTAATTCCAAGTTATATTAGGCACAATAATTAGGTATGAACTTAGATTAATAAAACCTAGATGGATAGTCTTCATACAAACGCTTCGTCAAGAGTGAGGCAAAAATCTTATGTCATTAGTGTCAATTTTGTTGGGGAGTGTAGACAGTGAAGGCGATTTTCCCGAAAGTAGGGAAATTTTTAATACGTTTTTAATTATTTTATAACTAACAAAAACAAAACGCATCATGTACTTACTTATTTATTGAATTCAAAGTACCTACCTAATTACAATAAGATAAATCGACTGAAAAGTCTCGATTTCATAAAAAAGGAAGTGTATTTGTACGGCGAACAATTGGGAAATAAATTTTCTTGTTACTGGTATCATTCCCGTATTAAATTTTTGAAAGCCAAATTCAATCAAAATACGCGTCGAATCGTAGTACTTACTTATGAAATGTAACACTGGTCACTTTCTTTAGTTTTTCTGATGTATTTAGACACCCTTTCACAGCACAAACCGTCTTTAATTAAAAGTCGTCGGACGTGTTTACCAATTTTTCACTTTGACAGTTCATGTGACGTTTACGAGTAAGCCATTCTGGCTTACTAAAATCTGCCTCACCTTTCGTGCACTGACTATCTATCTAGGTTTAATCTAAGGGTATGAAACGATGTAAGTAAAATAGAAGTCCTACATACTCGATACTTTTCTCCACAGATATGGATTAGAGTAGATGCCATGAAGCTATAGCTTCATGGTAGATGCAGCAAGTTGCTCGTCAAAGCGTGCCATTCCGATATGTCCAAATGGACATACATGGTCGAGTGATGTTCATGTAATCCGATTACAACAATCGGTTACGATGATTTTACGAGGACAGTAGTACGAACACGGTTAGAAAGAAGAAATTATTTACGGATTGAAATTTGTAATTAACAGCACAAGTAACAAATAAATCAAGAAGTTAGGTCAGTGATCGCAGTAGGTATACCTACGTCTTTGTATGTATACGACGGCACTGGATTTTGTCGTTTAGAAATATCTTCAAAACTAGATAACTGACTTAGCGTTATGAAAGAAAACGTATTGGCAAAACTACGCATTTTTAAATTTATTACAAATAAAAAGCTTGAGTTAATAGTAATAGTAGTCTTTATTTTATGAAACTAGGTCAGGTACTTACTAGAATATTTAAAAGTATGGAATTAAGTATGAATTACTAGTAGTACTATTTAACATTATGGAATCACGATCATTACTTTCATAAACATTAGGCACAACTAAAATATTATTTGCAAATTAATAAGAAAACTAATAATGTAGAATAACGTTTACCGCGACAAAATTGTTTTAATCCACAGTCAGACTAGCTATAAATTTAACAAAATATCAGTTTTATCGTAATTAATCAATTTTCAAATCGAGTCACACGATATCTTTCGATGACTTTGCGAATGCAGTACGATAATACGATTACTTTTACGTTGCGGCAATCACTAAAATTCGCTAAAATGACACTAATGACGTTTAAAAAGTGGCACGCTCGGCTTCATACAATTTTTGACACATGCTGCATCTATCCATATCTGTGCTTTTCTCAGATACCTACCAAACTTTACATTAGCAAACATTCCTGAGAACTACGACACGATACTATGAGCTAAGTATGATGACTGTAGCGCGTAAACTTTTGTGAATTTTGTGATGCTGGATTTACACATGGCCACTCGCCATGCCAACATCACTCCACGAGTAGTTGCACGAGTCATTCGCGCACGAACATGGAGGACGTGGATATTGGTTGGGTTGTTGGGCGCTAGGGTGAAAGTACCACTAATTGTCAGAACCAACATTTAAATATTAACGGAATTTAAGAAAGTATGACCAACCTTAGCTATAAAAATAAGCTGCACGGGAGGTTCTATCGGGCCCTTACAGGTCCCGATGTGGACCTCCTCGCCTCGGTGAACTGGCTACGCTTCGGTGACCTCTTCGGGGAAACCGAGGGTTTTGCTTGTGCAATTGCTGACGAGGTAATGATGACGAACAACTACCGAAAATATATCTTGAAGGACGGTACGGTCGACATTTATCGAGCATGCCACCGTCCCGGAGAGTCACTCAGGCATATAATTTCTGGTTGTTCGCATCTTGCTAACGGTGAGTATTTGCACAGGCATAACCTAGTAGCCAGAATCATCCATCAGCAACTTGNGGTACGGTCGACATTTGTCGAGCATGCCACCGTCCCGGAGAGTCACTCAGGCATATAATTTCTGGTTGTTCGCATCTTGCTAACGGTGAGTATTTGCACAGGCATAACCTAGTAGCCAGAATCATCCATCAGCAACTTGCTCTTCAGTACGGCCTTCTTGAATCTGAGTCGCCATATTACCAGTACCAGCCGGTGCCAGTTCTTGAAAATGGTCATGCATTGCTCTATTGGGATCGGTCTATCATCACAGACAGGACTATTGTCTGTAATAAACCTGATATTGTGGTGGTTGATCGATCCCAACGTCGGGCAGTGCTCGTTGACATCACCATCCCGCATGACGAAAACCTCGTGAAGGCCGAGAAGGAAAAACAAAGCAAATACCTTGACTTGGCCCACGAGGTGACCGCCATGTGGGATGTTGACTCGACGATCATTGTCCCGATAGTTGTCTCGGCGAACGGGCTAATAGCGAAGAGCTTCGACCAACATCTAAAGAAGCTCTCGCTAGATGGTTGGCTCAAGGGTCAGATTCAAAAGGCGGTGATCCTCAGCACGGCACGCATTGTCCGGAGGTTCCTCAGCCTGTGACCCTGACCACCGGTAGCTTGGGCCCTGCTCCGCTACCAGCGGATTAACTATTTTTAAGAATTTTTTTTATAATGTATTTTTAGTTTTTTTATAATTTACATTGTAAAAAAAATATTAAAAATAAGAAGGAAATTGAATAAAGAGATAATAATAATAAAATTCTTTATTGACATAAAATGTTACACTAAAACATACAACACAGTCATTAATGTTTATTGTTTATATCAGCTATTAGTTTATTGTTTTAGAAAGATATCCTTTAAGAAGTGACAATCAAAATGTGCTGCTATTGGTTGGCACTTGACACATAGGAGACTCAATGACAGGGGGGCGCTACCATCGTTCAACTATATGGCTTCCAACATGGCAAAAATCGGAACCAGCGATCCGGTATTGACGGTGGCGCCCCGCTGTCAATGTCATGGATAGGACAGTTCAGTATTTTGGAACTATAGTTATGTATGGGACATTTTTGAAAAAAAAAAGCAACTTTATCTCTCCCCTTAGACAAGTGGCACTTTTTGATCGAATCGAAAATCGATTCTGTCAAAATTCCATACAAAAAAATGTCTTTTCGACCATCTTTCGACTGGTTTTCGATTTTAAAGTGCATTTGGTCTAGACCCACTGTAATATTTACGAAATATTTGAAATGAAATAGAAAATTTGAATTATAAAACTTTATGACCAGTCAGGTCATAATACACTTGTGTTTTCACGATAAAAATAATTTGAATTTGAAGTAATTCTAATAATTATGTTAGGAAATGCCAACCAACTGAAATTAGAAAGAGTGTAGGTAAGTAATTTAAAGTTGTAGTATACCTCTATTTAAAAAAGACAATCGATTTATAATTATAATGATTTGTTTGTTTGTGAGTAAGTACATTAAGTTTAAGTAATGTATTTCTCATAAAAACTATAAGACATGATAAATAATGCTTCAATAGTTCACATTCCCTGGTAAAATCCTGAAAAGCGATAACAAATACATGTACCTACCTACTGCAAATAATGTGTTTAAAACCTTTTTAATGGTCACCCTTTGGTAGTTTCACCCATTCACCCACATTGACCCTAGTTGCTAACTCCCGCTCGGTTGTCTTGCCAGCTCCCATCGCGAGTGAGCGAGTGGGCGAGCGTGCTGCTTACACATTCACATGCCCGCTCGCGTATCCACTCACTATTTCCCTCGCTACTCGCGCGAATGTGTAAATTCGGCATTATCGTTACATTATCAAGCGATTGATAATTTAATAACCGACACTTCATGTTGAATTCGAGTAGCAAGGGAAATAGGGGTCTCTTAGACGTTAGTGAGACTCTTCGTTTAGAGCCTGTGTTTATAGCTCAGTCATGTCACGTCACCTCCCTCCCGTACGTACGTACTACTTAC